CCTTCTTTTTCTCCTCTCTCCCTCTTTCTTCTCTCTTCTCTCTGCTCTCTCCATACTATCTTTGGACCCTCTCTCTTCCCCACTACAGCTTTCTGTTTTCTTTATTTGTTCCAGGTGTGTTTGCTGAAGCATTTTCATCATGACTATTTTAAGATTGAGCCAGAGAATTCTAATTTCACAGACAGCTTTATATCTTGAAACCACCTTTTAAAAATTAATTTTTAGATCTTCCTTGTTTTTTTCTTGAAAATAATTTATAAAGTACATTCTGATCAGTTTTCCCTCCCTTATCTTGTCCCCGATGCTCCCCACCTCCCTACCCATCCAACTCTTTAGAAAACCAGCATGCCAACAAAAAGCAAACAAACCAGAATAGAACAAAGCAAAAACAAAATTCCTAGTTCTTAATATGACAATTCATTATTATTACTGATTAAAACATGCATATTTTTCATATTAAAAGGCTCTAGATCTTATTTAAATCTTCTGTTTTTAGTTAGCATTTTGTCACTCTGCACCAGAAAGAGAAGTGGGAGGTAAGATTCCATTATTGAGGATGGTGGTGCACTCCTATAAGCCTAGCACCTGGGAGACTCAGGTAGAAGGATAGCAAGGTAAGGCTAGCCTATGATATACAAGCAGGCCCTTTGTCTCAGAACTAACAAACAAAACAAAATAACAACAAAAATCACCCCATTGTTACTAGATGAATTAGAAGTCCATGTTCCCCACATGGAGTCTGTCGACATCAGAGGTTTCTAATTGCTGTTGGACAAGTATTCTATCTGTTTAATTAGCCTCTGCTGACACTGTGAGGTGGCTTTATTGATGCTGGGCCTTGGTGAAAGTTCCTAACTCTCTAGTAGGCTTCCACTGACACTAGCCCAAAGGGGAGGGAAAGAGGAAACTCATTTCTGTCCAGTGGGTATGGAAGTGTAGAGTCCCTATGTGGTTTCCAGTATCTTTTGGGGGAAAGGTGACCTTTACAGACCAGTGTTAAAATTTCTGATTTCCACATGTTCTTCCTTGATACTACTAGGACACAAATGTCTCATTATGCTTCACACGAGTGTAGTCTACACTTGTCACATAGTATCTGCTTACATAGGCTGGCATGGGGTCATTGTTATCTACGGTATTTAGCTGAAGCAGAACGGTTATTGCTTAATGATTTTCTGTTCTGTTAGGCTGCATTTTTTTCTGATCCTTTGGGTGTATAGCCTAGGCTTTTATTGGCATTTTTGTTCACTTGTTTATATTCATGGGTATTTCCAGACTGCTGTCTTCATCAGCTCCAAGTCTTAGATATATGAGTTAAAAAGTAAAACCAGAAATTTGCCACTGTGCCATTATCTGACTCTTCAAATTCCCAGCTACTCACCATCTTTTGGAGTAGTCTTATTTTTGTTTTATCTGTAACATCCCAGGGTTTTGACAGGAGGATTAGAGAAAACAGATCAGGGCATCAAAATGTGAAAAGTCTAGTTATACTCTGATTTACAAAATCCTTCTTAGGAATCTTTACTGCTACATTAAATGGAATGCCAAATATGGATTTATTCTTCAGTATCCATACTCTGATGAGTGTTTGACCAGATGTAAATGTAAGGCCTTACAAACCATCTCAGTACTTATCAACTGTAATCCACCCACGCCCTATTCATTTTGGATTAAGAGTGAACAGACAACCACAATGCTAATACTATAATTATGTGCAGAGTGTCAGAGCTTCCACCTGACACTTCTACAAGCTGTTTTAAGCATTTTAGTCTCTCTGTGCTCAAATGTACATATTCATTTCAAACACAGCTTAGCAAAGTGAGCTCTTGTTTCTTGCTTACCCCTTATGCTCACTTTACTGTGGATTAGGACCTATAGTAACAGTGTAGAATACTGCTGTGCCAGTCAAACCAAGAATATATAGAACAGAGAAAAGACATCTTGAAAGACAGCTCTAAAACAAACAAAAGAAAACAAAACTAAACATACACAAAACCCACAACCAACCTGATAATGTTTAAATATGCAGTGAGAGCCTATCTGCTAAGAATGTTCTTGTTGCTGCTTTCCTATTGTTACTGCTCCTTGCATACCCACAGCAGATACTTCTAGGGCTTTTTGCTGTAGGCACAATTTGATTGTACACCAAGCATAGGGCTTCCAATAGTCTAAGTAACTATGTGACCTCCACCTATTAGCACAGTTGCTAATCATCTTTCTCTAGAATCCAGAACTGGGAATCAGAGATAGTGAGTCACACTTATAAACAAACAATTTACATCTTGTAAGATGCAAATCTGCAATGCGGTGTGGCCACCTTCTACAGAGAGGTATAAACAGAACCTAAAGTGTAAAAGCCCTGGAGGATTTCTCCTCTCCAGTTCCAGTCCTGGATAATTGCTTTTCTTTTTGTTTCCACAAATCATCTTGAATTCTCTTATAATTCTTCCCTCTTATTATTGTTATAACTGTGTGCTTTTAAATTAATCTATTTTAGATTGGTTTTGTTATTTGTAAACAAAGAGGTCTAGTTGCTATAGTATTTGTCAACACCTTCAGCCTCAGGCCTGTCCACACTGTGGGCATTTCTACATTTGAAGTATGTAAGGACTCTTTCATTACAACAACTAGAAAATAATTACCTAGGCCTTTTGCTAACTCTAAGAGTCTAAATTTCTCAGGCTCTTTGTCAATATCTATTGCATTTTGTAATTAGTTTTCCTGATTTGTAGGTTCAAAAAACATTTTGTATGTGTTTATGTTTGCTGCCATATGCATACCCACCATGTGTGTGCAGGTGCCCACAGAGGCCTGAGAGGGTGTTAGATTCCTGGAATTGGAGTTATAGGTAGTTGTGAGCTACCATGTGGGTGCCGGAAGTGTATGTGGCTCCTCTGCAAGAGCAGCAAGCACTCTAAACTGGTGAGTCATCTCTTCAACCTTCATTTATTATCTTTAAAAAGGATATTATTTTTTATTGCATGTGTATCTGTATGTCTGTGTGGAAATGTGCCTGTGGAGACCAGAAGAAAGTGTTCAATCCTCTGGAGCTGGATTATGGGCAACCAGGAGCCACTATGTGGGTGCTGAGAACTAAACTTCAATCCTCTGCATGAGCAGCATGCCCTCTTGGTCACTTAGCCATTTCTTTAGCTCCCTGATACATACTTTTGCTGATATTATACTCTATACTTTGTTTGCCTGCCTAGATTCACTTTATTTTTTCATATTTTAGCTGTATTATTGTACTCAATTCCTGTCAAATAGGGCCTTTCCCATCATGACTGCTACAGCATTCCACTAGAAATCACCACCAACTGCCCATTTTTATATCCTATTGATTTTGATGATTATACAGTAAAGGAATTAACATCACCAAGAGGAACATTATTCTTCACTAATACACATTCAGAAATAATCATTCTTGAGGATATGTGCTTCTAGGGTTTTTCTTCTAAATTGTATTTGAATATATATAATGCATACATACATGTAAACATAATCATACCAAATAAAATGGGTATATAACCCATGTTACACACATATATTGTGAACATCATTTCCTATTAATATTCACTTGCAATATTGAAGTACTACATAATATTTCATAATTAATTTAAACTATTTTTTATTCTTGAACATTTATGTTCTTTAATTTTTAACTCCTATAAATAATACTGAATGAACATTACATATGTCTTATAATTCTTATTTAGTTTTTTCCTTAAAATCAACTTCCCAAAGTGGAATTTGTTTTGTCAAGATGGGTGGTGAGATGGTGGCTCAGGAGCATGTGTGAGGCCCTGGGCACAACCCCAAACCCCACAAAGAGAGTGAGGAAGAAGGGAGAACAACGTGAAGTCAGGAGTTTTCATTTATACTGTTGAAATGCCTTCCAGAAACTACCCACTTGTGTCCCAGTCAGGGAACAGATTCTTCCAATGAACAGCAAAATATTAAAGGGTGTTTCATCACAGATTTAATATGTAATTTTCAAATTAGCAAGACTGAACATTTCTAAATGTCTGTTGGCCATAGTACTTCTTTTGTGAATTGCTTGGTTATAATTTTTGCCTATTTTCCCATTTTTAAAATCTCTACAATTTTCCTTAGTTAATTTGTAGGCATGTACTTAGGACTTTGGAATCAAAGTTTTTAAGTGTTTAAATCCAAATTCTTCTACCTATTGTGTGGCTTTGAAATAGTTGTTTAATGTCTTTGTATCTTAATCTTGCTATATGTAAAATGTAAGGAGCTCAGTTTGTCCTCTGGGGGGTTTTGTATCTGCAGACTCAACCAAGTACACGCTAGAAATATATTTAGAGCTGAGATTAGTTATATCTAGGGATGGGGAAACTGTAAATATGAGGCCCTGCTGGTCATAAGTATATAACTTATCTAGCACATGGGAAATATTTTATAAAATGTTGTCAATAATACTATTATATTTGTTATTTTCAGATTTTATTATCTTTACTTTTATTTATGTAGTTTTCCTTTGTGCCTTGGAGATAGTTCTGTTTTTCATCTTTAAAAGAAACAGTCTTATTATTACTTTCTGCTGAGTATCAAATAGTTGAAGTAGCCAAGATTCATTATTTAATCCTCCTCCCCTCCTTTAGGAGCATAAAGTTTTAAAGTATCAGAAAATTGTCAAATCATGCTCTAGTTACATCTTATTTATGTACACTTACTTTATAGATACAAACTAAAGTATTTTATGCAAGTAATAGGTCAAATAATGCCTGATAACTTAATCCTTTACATATCTGGTATGTAATTATGACTTTGGGTTTTGTGATGTAGTGGATGCTATTTTTAAAAGCCTATGTTTGTTTCTAAAGATAATGAACTAACAAGCTGTATAAAACCATATTAAATAGTAAGGAATGGGCTTGGGGGTGAGTTGGAGGTAGAACACTTGCATAGCAAACATAATACGGTCCTGGGTTTGCTCCCCAACAATACAGAGCTAAGCAGGATGAACACCATTGACTTACTGATGTTGTTGGAAGTCGGCTCCTGGATTGAAGAGGTCTTTGATTTGAGTCGATTTTATGTTTTTAGAGGATTCCACGATAGGGAGTAAGTACTGTAATATCTCCTGAGTTTGAGCTATTCTTTTATCCCTGTAGATTCTTTTTTCATCATCTGTCCAGTTTGTCCCAGTCCTCTTGCTTTGAAAAGATGTGCGTCTTTTTGCTTTCCTTTTCAATTCATGTTGTGACTCTAGGGAGCAACCACAAATATATACATATATATATCCAGACATGTGAATATATTCATTCAGCAATTTTGTCTTAATCCAAATGCCGCACCAGGAGTTTTATCTGTAGGTCTTTGCTATCTAAAATTTATGGTTTAATGACAATGGGTAAAAAATAAATAAAATACATAGTATGTTAGGTAATAAAGTTTACAGCGTAAAATAAGGCTAGGGAGGGAAATGGAGAATTCTGGGGGGAAGATGGTTGACTTACATATTCAAAAAGTATTAAGAGAAGGCCTATCTACGACTCTGACATATCATAGGAGTCATGGATTAAGCCAAATCGGTATCATGGGAAAGAACACTTCAGACAAAGGTAAGTTAAGTGCAAAGGCTCTTACTAAGACAGGAATATGGTAGTATGTGAGGACCCCAATATGGCATCAGTGGCTGAAGCAAGTGAATGAAAGGGAAACTATAAATTCAGGTAGCAGCTTGATTTTGGCAATATAGGACCTCACAGGTCAGTGGTTCTCAACTTTCCTAATGCTGTGACCCTTTTTAATACAGTTCCTCATGTTGTGGTGACCCCCACATTGCTACTCAATAACTGTAATTTTGCTACTGTTATGAGTCATAATGTGAATATCTGATATGCAGGGTATCTGATATGCAACTCCTGTGAAAGGGTCGTTTGACCACCCTCAAAAGGGTTGTAACCCAGAGGCTGAGAACCACTGTCATAGGCCATTGTAAGAACTGTGAGTGTTAATGGGAGGGCTTTGGACAGAGATGTGCCAGTCTGAGATCTGTTTTAATAAGATCATGCTGGTTGTTGAGTTGGGAATGGCATAAACTGGACAAAGGTAGACAAGCAAGGAGATCGCTTGTAAGACTCCTGAAGCAATTCAGGTAGTGGAGGTGGTTAAAAGGGTGAGAAGTGGGATGGAGGTCCTGGGTATGTCTGGACTCTCTAAAGAACTGGACTGGGGTAAAAGAATAAGACAAGAATAGTGTTTGCAAAGCTTCTGATCTGAGGAAAGGGAAGGAGTTAGGGGACACTGTAGAAAGAACATGTTAGAAATCCTTTCTTAACATAGATATGGAAGAAGTGTTAATTGTGATATTAGAGTGCAATAACTTTATCTATCTATCTATCTATCTATCTATCTATCTATCTATCTATCTATCTATCTATCTATCTATCTATCTACTTATTTATTTGAGACAGGGTTTCTCTGTGTAGCCCTGACTCTCCTGGAACTCGCTCTGTAGACCAGGCTGGCCTTAAACTCACAGAGATCGACCTGCCTTTGCCTCCCGAGTGCTGGGATTAAAGGTGGCCCCACCATTGCCCAGTGTAGTAACATTAAAAAAATGTTTATCATACCCTATAGCTTTTAGCCTGTTATTAAAAAATGAATATCTCCCAAATCAGAGAAAGTAACAAGTATTGTTAAGTATTTAGAGAATTTGGAATCCCTGTGCACTGTTGATGAGGATGTAAAATGGTGCAGCTAATGTGGAGGATTTATCATGTTTCCAAGTGGATTCCACCAATCCCAAAAGAACTGAAAACATGGCATAAAAGACACATCTGTCCCCACATGTTCATAGCAGCATTATTCGCAAAGTGGGAGCAATCTAAGAGCCCATGAATAGATAATAAAAACACCATTTATCAATATGATAAAATATTGACTTAAATCTTGAAGTCATGGTGCTAAGTAAAATAATAGCCACAAAAAGACAAATACTATATCTGTTTTCTAAATATTTAACTTCATCCATATGGAATGTCTAGGTACAATAAGCAGAATAATTTCCAGGGACTGAGAGAAGGAAAAACAAAGAGCCATTTAATGTGCATAGTTTCAGTTTTTTAAGATAAAGCGTTTTGAAGATTGTTTGCAGAATAAGTGCCAAAGAACTTAACTAACCTGTACCTTTAAAAAAATAGTTGAGAGTAAAATTTAAATTACATACAATTTATCACAATTAAAGTAAAGTCATCATACTTAGGAAGAGAGTGGATAAGACCTGGAAGGAAGGCTGCCTATTAGTCTTGCATCTTAAAGAAAGTGGCAATATCATTTATATTATAATATGTAAATTGTTATTCAACAGCATAAGGAAAAGTAAACCACATTTAAAATTAAGTCAAGAAAACACACTGTGCTTCATTGTTTCTTAAAGTGATTATCCAGTTAGAGATATATACTAGATTATTTGCAGGTAAAATTATAATTTGTAGAATCTGCTTTAAAATACTCCAGGAAAATCATGGTGGGAATACAGATAAAACAAAAAAGCAGGAAGCTAATAAAGGAGGGTGGTGGGCCCAGTGAGTTCATTATTCTGTACTCTACTTTTATGTTTGAAAAATTCTCTAATGAAGTGTTTTTAAAATAGAGCTGTCTACTACCAAAAGGAAAGTAACAGAATACTAAAGCACTCACGAAATCCAGCTGGATCTGAAAGATAATGACTACAATATCTGTCAGTGCTGACAAATGAACTTGTATAGAGAATCTCTAGAAGCCACTATTAGGCTGCTGAACAGTCACTGGACACATACTGTGGTATCTATCACTTTGGCTAGTTGGTAATTAAATATGGAAAACATAATCTTTAATTTCATTATGTTGGGTCAAGACTAGAGAGAAACTAAAGCATCAATGAAATTCTATTTTTGATTTGTGTATATATATATATGTGTCTGTGTGTGTGTGTGTGCGCGCGCGCACACGCACATGTTTATGAATATGTGTGTGTGGTGCACTCACACATGTATGCATGTGTGGAGGCCAGATATAGATTTCTGGTATCTTCTACTGCTCTCCATCTTATTTTTGAGACAAGGTTTTTCACTGAACCTGAAGCTCACTGATTCAGGCAGACTGGCTAACCAGAGAGCTCCAGGGATCTGATTGTCTCTGTGATCTTCTCATAATCCCCCCTAAACCACGTGCTCAAGTTACAGGTGCTGCCACACTTGGCTTTTTACATGGGTATTGGAGATCTGAATTCAACTCTTTAAGCTTACCAAATGCTTTACCTACTGAGCCATTTTTTCCAGCCCCCAAAATGTGTTCTTATAGGAAAAGTTAGGACACTCACTCAGGTTATAGATAGGTACTTCTAGGGAACTTATGGATGGGAACAAAGGATAATGGATGAGGAAAGATTCCTAATGCATATATAATTCAGCAGGGTCTTAACAGATGAGAACAAGCTAGCTAAGTATAGTAGTGATCTAGATTAAAATATTTCAAACTGTGAATTATATGTAATACGGGGTCATGAAAAGTTTGGCAACAGCATAAGATTTCTGAACATTCAAGGACCAAAAATGCATTAAAAATCAGATGCAAAATGAATCTGAGGTGTTTCTGGCACCACTCACCAGTGTTACACTGTGTGACTTCACTGAACTCTTGGTTCTGAACACTGACCATGTGCATGCCAGTATGCCATGTATCACCAACAAACTCTGCCTGAAGCACTTTAGCTCAGATACAAAACTGTTGTATGTTACAAATTAGTGTACACACAAAGTATTCTGTTTTTACAGAAATAAAATAGTTTAATTATAAAAACTAAGACTTTTAATATTTTCCTATCATCATTCCTCAGCATATAAGTATCTAATATATTTTTGGGTTATATTATGTCAGGTAATAAAACACATTCACATTATTATGCAAATTTGTTTTATTGCTATTATTTGTATGTGTCAGATATACACATGTATGTACAGGTGCATGTGTACATGTGTGCATGAATGTGCAGGTAAGAGAACACCTTTGCCTGTCATTCCTCAGGCTCCAACTTTTCTTCTTTTCTTCTTCTTCCTCCTCCCCCTCCTCCTCTTCTTCCTCCCCCTCCTCTACCTTCACCTTCTGCTCACTCTTTCTCCTCCTCTTCTTCCTCTTCCTCCTCTTCATTTTTGAGACAAGAGTCTTTTGCTGGCTTGGAATTCACCAGGCAGCTAGGCTAGCTGGCTAGTCAGCCCCAGGAATCTGTCTTTTTTTGACTCCTCTACTGGCATTACAAATGTGTACTACCATGCCTGGCTTCTTGGTACCAGCGTTCAAATTAAGGTCCTTTTCCTTGCAAAGCAAATACTTTACTGATTGAGCATTCTCTCCAGACAATGTTTTCTATGGTGATATTTTATTTGTACTGAAATGTGGTATTTTATTTGTATGCTAAAAATAAAGTTTGCCTGGAGATCAGAGGAAATAGCAAGCTGCTTTAAGTAAACACAAAAGTCAGGCAATGGTAGCGCATGCCCTTAATCTGATCACTTGGCAGGCAGGGTCTCTATGTGTTCAAGGCCCTACTAGGGAACAGAGCCAAGTATGGTGACATACGCCTTTAATTCCAGTACCAACTATAGAGACCTGGTGGTCTGTACAGACAGGAAGTGACAAGGAAGTGAGGTAGCTGGGCTAAGAACCAATGAGAGGGCAGAACAGCAAGGCAATAAAAGCCTGGGTAGACAGGAAGTTGTGGCATTTTGGAAGTTGCAGAGCTGGTGAGGTAAGGTTGGTTGGTGGCTCTTACTATTTCCCTGATCTCTAAAGCTTTCACCCCTATATTTGGCTCCGTGTTTTTTATTCAATAAGACTGATTAGAAATTCAGCTACAGTTTTCATCTTTAATAAATGGTAAAATCATATGTACATGGAACAATTGTTTTGAAATAAATTTCATTATAATTTATTATGCATAACTTTTGAGTTGTATATCTATTTTATAAACCTTGGATCAGGTAAAAGTTTCTCAGGTGAAAGGGGCCATGCATGAATGGAAAGTTTAAGAAGACCTGATCTATATAGAAGACTAACATGGCACATTCAGAACACCACAAATTTGTTTTAGAATGAATGGTTCATGTCAGGTAAGTGTGATAAAGTTGCTCAAAATTAGAAGATTTGTTTGCAACAATATTTTCAGCAGCTTCTCTGCAACAGGAATGCTTTGTGATGAGAAAATGATTAATGCATATGTTTGG